AAACATTTACACTACCATCCTATGAGTAAATTTTAAAAGGTTTGTTGTACATGAACCCAAAAAACCAAATAACTATAATGGAAATATAACAGGACTAAATACTACTTCTTAGGATCCACTTCACAAGTTTGAAAAAACAATTATGAAATTAAAAAAACAGACCCATTACAAGCCACTTTTGCAGTGGCATCAAGCAGGCCTCTTCAATTTACTAGTATATGACAATCAGCTTAAGGAGAAATCAAAATACGTTCATTTCTAAATAAGTGAAATCCATCAAATACCATTTGGAGAACCTAATCTGCTAAATTTTTAGCAACAGAGACACTAGTCCTTTGGCTGTAGTCAACTTTTTTTGAAATACCATTTATTCAAATAGACTGTTATTGAGTATCAAGCCACACTTCCCTCACCCTCACTAAGATAAAATGCTGAACCATGCTGCCCAAATGATGATTTCACTACTTAATGCATCATTACTAACACTGACTATACTACAATAAAATGTATCATACTACAGTAAAAACAGTCTGATCTACGCTTGACAGGAGAACTCTCAGATGAGTGATTTACCCACTTGCTCAACACTTTACATGTCTGTAAATCTTTAGTTCTTGAGAAAGGGACTTGAAACAACACTAAAAGAGAAAAATGTAAAAGCATGAATTAATGGTAAATTCGACAAGTTTTTTTAAAAAGCAGTAATTCCCCTACCAACCCATTTCTTCGGCATTCCAATTAACTACTACTGCTTTACAATAATTACATACTTTACAGAAAATGGTGAAAATTAAATGAACAAATTAGGAACTCGATACACATGTCTTAGAGATCATTCCAAACTGATGCTCATTTTTTACATCCCACTGTCAGCCAAGTGCTGTTTTTATACCATCATTTTAAGGTATGTGACCAGGCTCAGCACACCTGAACATGAAGCGGAAATGCTGCTACTTATTCAAAAAGAGAAAATAGTCCCCAAAATATTAGCCATAAAAACCCACACCAAATTGTGTATTTTCTAAGACTTCCTAAAGAAACTGATTGTGTCTCCCACATTGTGATCAGTTGAATTCAGACCTAATCTAAAAATGGGGCAGTTGTCACAAAATGAAGGAACTAGTACTTTAAAAAAGGAAAAAAAAAAAAAAATGGCACTATCATAACATGCTTCCCTGTGGCACAGTTTTGATTAAAACTTGGGTCCAAACACTATCTCTGACCTTCAAGACTAAAGTTGGCACACACATTCCCCCATTAAGAAGCTATCAGTAATATTTTAAATTAGAACAGCTGTGAAGAAAAAGATACCTTTGTTCAGTCATGTTGTCAGGTTCTGAGGTCTGAGGGGAGTGAGTGGGCAAGTGGTAGGTAGCTGGAAAAGCACGCAAGGAATCGTAGAGAGTTTCAACATGGCTTTACTCTCTCTCTGGGTACGAGCAAGCTGTATGTACAGCGTTAAGCAGGGCAATTATACTTTTGACAGACAACAGTGACTCAGAGCCAAGCACAAGCTCACACAGCATGGTTACATAATGTGCGACGTTGTGTGCCTGCGCTCCAAACCTGCTGAGTCATCCTGTGCAGAAAGGCCGCTTAGGCCTACTCCTGACTAAAGCAGAGCCATTTTCCTTACACATGTATTTTTAGTTTCATTTGGGATCATGTTAGAAGTTACCAGTAATCTGTCTGTCTCACATTCACCTTGTTATTCCATGACCTTTGTCAACATCCTGGTTCACCTCCTGTTATCATCTGAACTTCTGTAAGAAAATAAATGCTTTCCTTATCCCATTTCAATTCATCACACCTACCATCAGATTAATCTTTCCAAGGCATACTCTTACAACACTGTCCCCACATTCAAATCCCTTCAAGAGTACACACTGCCATCTATATGAGGAACACATTTCCCAGTCTGGTTTTCAAGGTTGTCCACAATCTGACCTAACACACCTTTCCAGCCTTCTTTCTTATAATTCTCCAACAATTAACCTAAGCTCCAGAACACCTCAAACTTTCCTGTTTTTGTTCCTTTGTTCAGGCCTTTCCTTCCATCTGAGTGCACTTCCTCATTTCCTGTTGAAATCCTGCCTACTGCTTCAAGGCTTATCTCTACCACAAAAGCATCCCTGATTTTCCTAACTCATGTGTCTCCCTTTCAACAGTCTGGTATCACTTATACTTTGTAGCCCTCTTAAGGAGCTTCACTCTGCCTGCTAATAGTCATTTATCCTTCCTCCATCAGCAAGGTCTAAACTGAGTGTTTCTTGATAAAATAAAAGACCAAACTGTCAAAAAGATAAAAAAGACACATCTTATTTCTACCAAGAGGGGAAAATGCCTTACTGTTAATAGAGTAGAACATGTTCCCCAGAAGAAACTTATAAAAAATTCATGGCCAGGTATGGCAGCTCATGCCTGCAATCCCAGCACTTTGTGAGGCTGAGGCAGGAGGACTGCTTGAGACCTGGAGTTCAAGACCAGCCTGGGCAACAGAGCAAGCCCCTCTCTCTAGAAAAATATAAAAAATAAATAGCTGGGCATGGTGGTGCACACTTGTCATCCTAGCTACTTAGAAGGGTGAGACAGGAGGATTACTTGAGCCCAGGAGGTCAAGGACACAGTGAGCCAAGATGGAGCCACTGCACTCCAGCCTAGGGGACAAAGCGAGATCCTATCTCCTTTAAAAAAAAAAAAAAAAATTCATGATTAAATCAACAACCTTATCACACAAAGTGCTATATGTTCAAATCATTACAGAGGATATGGAACTGGGAGCAGTGTAGAGGTTGAGTATCCCAAATTCATAAATCTGAAATGCTCCAAAATCTGAAACTTTTTGAGCTCCAACATATTTAATAGAAACACTCAATAGAGCCTTTTAGATTTCCAGTCTTTGGATTTGGGATGCTCAACCAGTAAGTATATAATGCAAATATTCCAAAATTTGAAAAAATCCCAAATTCAAAATACTTCTGATCCCAAGCATTTTGGATAAGGGATATTCAACCTGTATTACTTTTCAAACACAGCAATCCAGTCCCTTGTCCCCATCAATACATCATATGAATAATAAAATCTAACTATATTCTAATAATGCCTCAATTATCTAATATCACTAGGACATGAGAGGTTCACATAATCGAATTTTTGAATAAGTGGTTTCTTAGTGCAGAAACAGAACTCAGGCATGCCTGCAGCCTAGGCCAGCTGAAAGGTGTTCTTGGGAAGCTAATCTTGACTTCCTCCTATCTAGTGGAAAACACTCAGGCACAATGGGGAAGTCATTTTGTACCAGTTACTTGCAGCTGGTAAACAGGTAGGGAGCATGAAGGAAGGATAAAGAGGGTGGCAAAAACCCTATAAAATGTCAGAAAGATCTTTTTGCACCTGCCAGAATCCTCATTCCAGATTGTTGGTACCATTCACATTTGTATGTCTCTGAGGAACTTTGGGTAGTTGAACACCTATTATGTCTCAATACAAACTATGTCATCACCTGCTGGAAGTTTCCATACCCTTTGCCACTGAAAATTTCACACTCTGTGTCTGTTATGGGTTGAACTGTGTCCCCCCAAATTCATAGGTTGAAGTCCTAACCATCAGTAGCTCAGAATATGACCTTATTTGGATATAGGGTTGTTGCAGATGCAAAATTATATGAGGTCACACTGGAGTAGGGGAGGTCCCTAATTGAGTATGACTAGCGCCCATATAAAAACAGAAAATCTGACCACAGACAAGCACATAGGGAATATGTCATGTGAAGATGAAGTCAGATATTAGGGTAATGCTCTATAAGCCAAGAAACTCCAAAGATTGCCAGCAAACCACCAGAAGCTAGGTGAGAGGCATGGAACAAATTGTTACTCAGTCCTCAGAAGGAACCAACCCTGCTGACACCTTGATCACAGACTTCTAGCCATCAAGAACTATGAGACAAATTTCTGTTGTTTAAGCCACCTAGTTTGTGGTCCTTTGTTACGGGATCCACAGAAAATTAATTTAGCATTTACTGGTGTTGATATCTGTTGATATCACCAATCCACTGTGAAAACCACCAGACACCTCTTTAAGTAACCATACTTCTTAAAAGTAAGTATTACACTCGTTGAACAAATACAAGTCAATGGCCTCTATGTGCCAGCCACTAGTGACAGAGCAGTAAGACCGACAATGTCCCTGCCCTCATACAGGTTATAGTGTAGTCAGGATAACTGACAACAAACCAAAATTACAGTGATAAAATTACAATTGCGCTAAGAACAAAAATGATGTATTTCCCTTCCTCTCTAAACAGATGGTAAACACAGTTAACCATGTATGGAGCCTCATGGTATAGTTGGATGCCCTTCATTTTTATTTTTGTTCCCCTACTAGATGTCAGGTAGTTGGCTACTACAAAGTCAGCTTTTATCAGCTACCCTCTTGTCTGTCTGCTCACCTCCTCCAATACATTTATATCAAATTTGGAGTTTCTAATGCTCTCTGAGCTAAACAAAATCAAGTAACTAATACTGCTAAGAAACATACACCATGTAACAAAAATTGCTGCAAGTGAAAACTGAAGATCTGATTTTAATGCAAGACTTTCAGGTTTACTTTAGATTCTCAGAGATTTTTTTTTTTCCCCAACAGAATTCTGTTATAAGGCTCTGAGACAGAAAGTTATTGCTACATAAACTGGATTTTACCAAATAATTTTGTACCATATTGCCTGGCAAATGCTTGTTTCCTTTCAAAGGAAATGCAGTACAAGGAAGCAAGAAAAACTTTTTCATATCAGAAGTTCACTGTTTTCTGCATCAGAATATAATGGTTACTTAAGGAAGAAATACTATCCAAAGTCAGAATTATATAAATTATTGTCAAGCACAGGACATATTTTTGTTAAATAATTGTCAATTGTTTAAAATAACATGACTATGAGGTTATATAGCATCATAATTGGAAAGTTCAGTCAACATTTTTTGAAGGACTTAATAAATACCACCTACCTCTTATGCATATCCAACAATCATCTTTTTTGTTGTGTTTCTTAAGTTCTTCTTCAGTTACTTCAATTAACCTGCCTTTTAATCCTGTTAGATCCTTTCCACTTTTGGTCAGGCGAATCCAATCCATAAGGCTTCTGCCCTGTTTTAAAGGTACCTAAAAATGGAAAAAGAAAGAATTAAATCTAGCTTCTTCATTACTTTTAATTCCATTTTAAAAGATAATAAAACTCAAATCTAACAATTCTATAAATCCTTTTACAGCTTTAAGAGGCTGTCAATATTGTTTATGCTGTATTTGAATTATAAAAGGTAGGGCTTAGAAATTCTATCACACAAATTTTCACCATATTGATGTCACAGTACAGCAGTCCATCAGTATCCACGGGCGACTGGTCCAGGACTTCCCCCTACCCTATATCAAAATCCAGATGCTCAAGTGTCTCATATAAAATGTCAAAGTACTGACATATAACTATGAACATCCTCCCATATACTTTAAATAATCTCTAGATTACTAATCATACCTAAAGTAAATGCTATGTAAATTGCTGTTGTATTATATTATTTTATAAGTCCTTTTTTTTATTGTTGTATTGTTCTTTTTAACTTTTTTTTTTCCCCAAATATTTTTGATCCACAGTTGGCTCAATCCTTGGAGTCAGAAAACAGGGCTACACAGGGCTGACCATATAACAAGAATGATATTGAACCAGAAACCAGAAAACAGGTTCTGGTCCTGGCTCTGACATTAATATGTTACAGTCACCAGTTTGGACCAAAATTTCTTCACCTTAAAAATCAAAAGAGATTTGACAGAAGCAAAGATAAAGAAACAATTAACTATAGTTGATTTTCTGAACTGTCAATATAAACAGACTTTTAGAAATCATTAGATAGCAATCTTATCTAAGAATCCATTGAGTAACAAAGTTTATCAAATAATGGAAAATAACACTGTAGGGAAGGGGTGGCAAACTATGGGCTGCACCTGTTTCTGTACAGCCCTTGAGCAAAGAATTGTCTTTGCATGTGGTGGTAAAGAGCCTGAAACCTTATGAGGCCCCTTGCCCAGGGAACTTAATAACAGGATGGTTTGGGTTTTTATTTTGTTTTATAAAACACATTTTCAACGTTTTCAGATGAGAAGTACCAGAACATTTTCAAGATATCTCTATGGAACTAAGCTTGTCTGACTAATTTGTAATGTAGTAACAGAAGAATGTTTAATGTAAAAGCACACACATTCAAGGACGTTTACATATTTCACTTATCTGAATCATACCTATTTTAGATATCCATTTACTCCCAAACTAACCAAGTTAATGGGTCTGTGGTGCCTTTCATATTCCATCCTATCAATCTACATCATTCCATTCTGGCTATCACTGAAACTCTAGGTCATTTGATCCCAATAAATGAAGTGTGAGAAAATGACCTTTCCCATCCCAAACGAAAATCACTCACCTCTCTCTATTCCATAATCCACAGGATAGTTAAAGCAAGCTTTCCGAAATGCAAATCTAATCAAAGGCTCTCCCTCCCTCAGTGGCTCCTCAGGTTACCTTATAATAATTCCCTAGGGATTTACCAGGTCTTCACAATCTGGTCACAGCTGACTGCATTAGGTCCACGTTCTAACTTTTGCTCTTCTCCATTATATACTTGGCCAAATGGGAACTGATTATTTGATTCCATGATTGCTGTCAAGTACTTGCTTATGGTAGTGCTGCTTCCTCTGCAGGGATCAACCTCACCCCAACTCCCATTAATTTCTCTGGAAGGCTTCTCTGATCCTCAACTCCTTTGTGGTCATAACACCCTATTGTAGTACTTATGACATTATAACTGAATGTTTACTATTTCATGCAACCTATGAGACTAAACACCGTGAAATCAAAGACCATAAACTCCAGCATATAGCAGGTTCTCAATAAGTATTTGTTCACTGGTATTAATAGAAATAATCACTATCATATGTTGAGTGCATATTCTGTGTCACACTCAAGTCTGTGAGATCTAAATAAAAGCCTCAGGACAAGTAGCATTTACTGGGTGCTTACCAAGGCTGTGCTAAGAGAAACATTACCTCATTGAATCCTATGAACAATCCCATAATATAGGTACTGTTACTCTCATTTACATCTGAGGAAACAGACTCAAAGAGATTAACTGGCAGATATGGTGAAACAATCTAGGTCTTTCTCACTTCAAAATCTGTGCCTTTAAAAAATTACAGTAAGTCCTCACTTAAGCTGGTCAACAGGTGCTTGGAAACTAAATTATGTACAACGAAACTAATTTTACCATGGGTTAACTGACATAAACAAAAGTTCCTGCAGCATATTTCTGGTCACAAAAACATCACCAGACTTCTAAAAGACCAAAATACTTCTAATATTAAACACTGAAAGAAATGCTAGCTATATATACATTTAAGAAAGATTAATTAGAAAACAATAAGATAATTATTTACCCAACTATTCCAGTTCAATGTCACAGGTAGTCAGAGCCTATCCCAGTAGCTCAGGGCGCAAGGCAGGAATCGACCCTGGACAGGATGCCATCCTACAGCAAGGCACACTCATACACACCCAACATGCACGCAGACTGGGACCGTTTAGACACATCAATTAACCTAACCTGCATATCTTTGGGTTGTAGTAGGAAACTAGAGTACCCAGAGAAAACCCATGCAGACACAGTTAGAGTGTGCCAAAGACAGTGGCCCCGGCTGAAACGAATTTTTTTTCTCATCGATATTATAACTTAATGCTGTTGAATGAAACAACATTATTTGAGAACCTGCTGCATGTTCCCAACCTTCCCAACTAGGTTCTATTTTCTCAACTTCTACCCATTTCATCCAAACCTGACTCAGTTTTTACATTCTCAGCATCATCTTGTTTCACAAAGAAAAGAGGAAAAAGAGTGGAGTCTGAGTTTTCCTTAGAATTGCACAATAATCTTATTGTGCTCTCTTTTTGGACCAAAGACTCACCTTTGCCATCGCCATCTGTGTGACTTTTTGTCTTTGCTTCTAAGTTTTCTCCTTTAAATGGATGCTAAGAACATAGTTGGTATTTTTAACGAAGAAGGGCAGCAACTCATATTCTAATTCAGAGATTCCCTCTGGAAAGACTATGTTATTCAATCAAGTATTTAGCTTCAAGAAACAGGTCAAAAACCAGTGAGAAAAATATACATGACTGGATGGCTAGATGATTGACATATGAATCAGTAAATGAAATTTCACAGCAGAACCACAACACAAGCCTAAGCAACTTAAGGCAACATTTCTTAGCCAGTTTCCTTTTCTGTGAAATAGAGACAATAAAAGCTTTCACTTCACAGGATAATTGTGAAGATTAAAGTTAATACATGTAAAGCACTAAAAATACACATGGCCACCTATAAGTACTTAAGAAATCTCTGGAAAGCTAATGAAAACTACAGATCCCTGAACCTATATTCATTCTGAACTAGAATCAGAACGCCAAGTCTAAGTGGAGAAAAATAAGAAAATCGACAAGGGTTCCAAATGATGCTAAGACTCAAGAGTTAACCGAGTGGCCCAAGTAGGTGGAAGTGTCACAAACAAAAGATAAAGATATGGTTACAGAATGAGGAACTAACACATAAACAGGAACAAACAACATTCGCAAAAGAACAAAGAACACAATTTTTATTGAATTTTGCAAATACAGAATATATCTGCACAGTATTCCACCTGTTGCTAACAGCAACTGTGCTCAACAAAAACTCAAGAGTATTATATTTGCTTCAAAGTTAGCAAGTGATAACAGTAGAAAAGGCAATGATAAAACAATCAGGTACCAGGGGAAGAAAGAAAGGCAGTATGACTCGGATAGTGTCTGTAAACCTGACCTAGCTCCCCAGCTCAAGTCCCCATCCCTGCACAGACGGTCACTACCGCCACCGCCAAGCCTTTCCCTCCTGCAAGGGAACCCACATCGAGTGATGTGGTACAACTCCTTCAGGCAGTGAAGAACAAATGACCAGCGAGGAGATGAGGTTGAGGGAAGGAGGCTAATACCAAGCGCCTATAATACCGCAAGCACAGTGCCTGGCTCTGTCATATAAATTTAAATCGCGGGAAAGGACTTGGAGGAAGGGAACAGATAGAGCGGGATAAAGGACCAGAAAGAAGAGGGGCTACTAAGGGAAAGGGAGGGAGATAAGGAGAGTTTAGGGACTGTAGACAGAGTGGGATCAAAAAGAGGTTGTAGGCAAGGATAGAAGGGAACGACAGCTTAGAGAGGTGTACGTGAGCTGGGAGTTGGGGCGGAAGGAGAGAACAGACTGCCGGAGCGCGAAACGCAGCGAGGGGAGAGACTCACGGAGCCACCCGCTTACCTTGCTACGTCCCCCGGAGGCTACACGCTGCTGCGACCTGGGGGCCGGGAAAGACTGGGAAGGGACGTTTAGCATCTTGACACTCCAGCCCCGGGCCTGCCCGGGGTTCGCCGCCGAATGGGATAGTACCTCCAGCTCCGGCTCCGCGGCCGGGCAGAGGCCAAGCCCCCGACCCACTTCCGGGGTCACCAGGGGTGAGACGCGCTCTGACGCAGCACGTCCGCGGAGGGCGGAGCCAACGGGGCAGAGGGAGGGCCGGCAGGGAGGAAGTACGCATGCTCAGTTAGTTCCGCGTCCCGCACTTCAGCACCGGAGCAAGGTGACAGCTATTTCGTGGAAAGATTAGAGAGTGAAGCTGTTCCTTAGCCTTGGTGCTGATCGAATCTGGGAACAAATTCTTAATCCTGCTAACCCGGAACAGCAATGTGTGTTCATTGTTAAGCAGTACCATCGCACTACTTGAAATATGGAATAAAATACACTATTTGAAATATGGATAAAAACGCATTTTAGTTTCTCTGAAATTCTTTCCTGTAAGGCACTAGACTGTACTGGAAAAAGCACCTCACACCTTTAAGAGCAAAATTATCAAATGTCAACAGCCACTACTGTGGGGTAAGAAGAAAACCTCACCTTTAAGCATCCTTAAACCTCAACTTTAAGCATGCTAAGGACTGGTGAATGCGCGAAAGACATTAGTAAAGTCTCCTTCTGCTCTATTCACCCACTCACAAATTCTCCCTCCTTATGTAACTTCCTGTCTTCCCTGGGAATTGTGTACTGATGCAGCTCACCTCCAGCTGTGGTGATGAAGTAACGTTTAAAAGTCAGATTTGGTTTGGATGCCATCTCTGCACTTAATGACTGAGCTGTCTTATAAAAGTTACTTTAGTATCTCAAAGTCTCATTTTCCCCATCTGCATAATGGGTTTATTAAAGATTAAAGGGTCATATGTAAACTACATACTGTGGTGCCTGGTTAATATTAGGTACTGAATAAGTGGCAGTGGCTGTTCGTACTATTCCAACATATTAATGGGAAAAGGACAAACACTGTAGGTAAACACCAGGCTCTAATGCTCGAAATCTGATTTTTCTGTTTGTTTGTTTGTTTGTTTTGTGTGTCCCTTGGGAAGCACATAGATCTTAAGAGTAGAATCCAATAAGGGCGAAAGTTTTCAGAAGAAACATAGTTCTAAATAATCCTCCCCATCCTCCTTTAATTACTAACTTTTCCTAACTCTGAACATATTGTCATGCTTTAAACTTTCTCTGTTTAACTACTTAGCTCCTAAAGTGCCTAAAAATCAAGGTTATGTTTGTAGAATATTTTAAATCAGAAGAAAAAGTGTGTGACTATATGTAGCCATTCAAATAAGAGGCATTTCTTAGCTCGTTAGCCACCTATGACATTCACCTCTATCCATTTTTATTTGCAATTGAAATGCTTATTACAAGAAGACTGAATTTGAGCTAAAAGAACCTCATGGCTATAATTAACTGTATTACTTTGACCTTGCAAACTGCTGCAGTGTTCTCTCTCTCTCATTAAATGATGACATATTCTTCTAGAGTCTACATAAGAAAAACTAATCACTGAGACTTATTTCACTTCTCATGAGAAAACTTTTGCATAAGAATAACAAAAGCAGAGAACCAGAACAAGGATAAGTTAATATTGTTGAAGAATGTTCCATACTTTCCAAATTTCTTATCTCCCCTACAGAAATGGAAGATACTATCAATTTCTGGCCTTTAGACTCCACTTTTTTAGACTCCATATCAATCACTCAAATTTAAACATTTTGTTTTAATTCTAGGGATCCCTCGATGTAGTACATTAAGTATTAAACATCAATACTATTTTACTACTGGATTTAAGGACTGAAAAGGAGTATTAACATAAGAGTTACTTTGCTCATCATTTATGTAAAATATCTATAATTTAAGAGCCCTAAGATTGATTCCCTTTTTCAATTACAGATAATGATTTAATGTGTTTTTTCCACCTGCTAAAAAATCTTTACTAATAAATGAGTGATTTCTAACATAAGGTTATTTTCTTCATTATCTAATAAGATAATACTAATCTGTAGCTACAACATCCAACTGGCATCAGTAGGAAATAGCAGATGTTAAAAGATTCAGTCTTGAGAATTAAATACTGTAATTCTTTGCAAAATTATAACTAAATATAAATTTTCAATTTAGTGAAGAGAAAAATTTATTCTTTGTAAGCCCCAAATATTTATAATGCAATCAAGACATTTGTAGATGGCACCTATTTTAGATTCCAACATCCAATTCTAGTGTAGGGATAAAAAAAGGCCAAATACCAGATTAATTATAAAATATTTCACTTTATTAATAATTTATATACAAATAAATTAGCTTAAAATAATTATGATACATTTGTACACTAAATTTAAACCCTAAAAACTCTGGATATAATCAAAAGTAGCTAATCAGATTAATTTTCACAGGTCAGCTCCTCAATTTCATCTTCACTATCAGAATCTTCGTAAAATGAAATTGTGGCTTGAATTGGAAAATTTTTCAGAAGAGCTTCTGCTTCTTGATATAAGTAATCATAACACTTTGATTTTGGCCAAAATAGTCTGAAAGAAGCAGACAACATGTTTTATTTTTTCACATTCAGAATCTTTAAACTCATGAAATGGTCAAATTTTCAAGAGCTCCATATATTTAACAATTGACTTATACATTTGGATATGGCCTTAAGATATAGAGTTAAAATATGCTACTATCACAGCTTTCATGGAATCTACTTGCCCAAGTATCAATAACTGTTTGATTATTTTCAGTCTTTTTTCAAGCTGTAAATTGTATCAAATTCACACTAAACCCTGGATAAGCATAAGATCAATGTTTACCTTACTTTGTGCCTTATGGATATATTTATTCTTATAATATATAGAAGATTTGTCTTACAGTTTCTAAATTCCTTTGGAAAAAATGAATTGAGTTCTACCAGTACATTAAAGACTCTGATGATATCCAGCTTTATAAAGATGATGAAATAATATGCACCTTACAAAAAGGTGGAAATTACCTATTATCTTACTTAAAACTCACAGATTTAACTCTTATAGAAGTAGACAATGTAAGTTTAGAAATGTATAAAAACCAGTATTTTAAAAATTTTGTCTATGCACTCACAACTTGAGGCATAGAAAGACTACTTCTGACCTCAACTTTGATCCTATCTGCCTGTCCTCTCCTCATTCAACTACATTTGTGAATATCATATGAAATATTGAGAAATTATACATGTTTTATACAAATAACTGGCATGCAAGTATGATTACCTCAGAATTTCAAAAATCTGACAAATACTAATCTTGCCTTCTGGTCTTCATCAAGGAAAAGAAAGAGGAGAGATAAGGCTGAATCACCATGTACAGTGCAGTCATTTTCGTGTAGGATAAACAGCCCAAATATTCATACAATGGAGTCATTCCAACAAATGAAAGATTACATTATGTTCAGTATGCTCCACTTTAACAGACAGAAAAACAATGTAGTTTGTAGATGTTTCCAGCAAAAATCATAAAAAGTTTATATTTTTGATGCTTAAACAAGTAACTATCAATTATTCAGTCATTCAATAAATATTTCAGTGATCCCTTGTGCCAACATAATTCACAATTTAAAGATGAATAAATCATGGTCCCTACCCTCAAAAAGTTGACAGCTGAAGTTGCAGCTGAATAAAAAAAAAAACACACCACATTAGTCAAAATATAAATGAATAAAAATAAAATGTAGGAGAAGCATAATTAAATTGTATCCATACTTCAGAAAAGAAGGGAATTTCTTACATAAGAAACAATTTATTTTCTAATGGGTAACTGGAACTGGCAAACCCAAAGAATGCTGTTTAGTCATTATGATACTCTCTCCAGAATTTCTAACTGTGGGCCATTCTACTCCCAGGGCCCACATACTTTTCTGAGTTTCTTTCTGTTCTGATTCTTCTCAGTCTCCTTTGCGGACCTCTCTTGCTTTGTGTACTGGTTAGATGCTGGCCTTCCCTCAGGTTTTCATTGAGAACATCAGCCCTCCCTCTAAACAAACTAGGATGACCTGGCCCACTGTCATGATTTCCCCACCCTACATTTACCACGGACTCCCAAGTCTGTATTTCCACTTAAGATCTTGAGTCTGGGCCCCTAACTTACGTATGCAGCTCTCTACTGGATATCACTCTTTGGATGCCCCATAGGCACATTAAATATGATAAGTGGAAAACTTGACTCATGGTCTCACCTCCCAAATCTGTTTTCGGCCCTAATTTCCATTCTTTTAGTACAGCATTCACCTGATCACCAGCTACAAACTTAGGAGCCATTCTGGTTTTTACCTCTTCTTCATCTACCATATCCAATACATTATAAAGCCTAACCTATTTTGTCATCTAAGTATTTCCTAGATTCATCCAGTCCCATCCTCACTTCTCGTGTCTTACAATGGTTTGTCATCATTTCTTACCTGAAAAATTACAGAACTTCCAGTTTTACTTTTGATGTCCTAAGCCTATTTAACGAATAACCCCCAAGACTACCTTCAGAATAAAGCCCATGGGTTCACAACACTACAAACAGGATCAAGACAAAACTCTGTACAAGAGTGTACAAGATCTGGCATCTGATTACCCTGCTGAAATGACCACAACTTCACACACCTAAACTCCTTGGAGTTCCCACAAGGAGCCCCACTGTTTCATGATCCTGCTTCTCTTTTCCAATGCTATTTCTTTTGCTCCCACTTCCCATTCATCTGATTAACTTCTCCAAGACTCAGCCAGGTAACCACTACTTATAATATACACTTCCCTGACCCTTCCCCCTACCACTCACAGATTTAGGCACTTCGTGCCATGCCCATACTTGTAAAACTAACCAAACTAAACTCCATTACAACACTTGCCATGTGCTTTGACGACTTTTTTTCTGTATCCTTCACTAGTGCTAGTACATGGTAGGAATTAGATGTAATGACTTCTATGTGCTATTTATCACCACGGGCACTTTACAAACATCATTCAGCTCTTCATTTAACAGCTCTAGGAGGCAGGAAAACTGCAGAATTATTAACATTTCACCTGATAAAAGTGACAAAGAATCTTAGATAAAGGCTGACTTCCTGAAGTGGCTAGGAACAGTAAACTAGCTCCTCATGTTAAATAACTTTTGACCCTTTCTATAACCACCCTCAGTAATCTTTAGGATTTTCATTACATTTCTATTTTCTCCTACACGGCAAACTTGATTTGCTGTAAGACTGTAACTGCTAATCCCATTCTTCCTTCCAGATTGCAAGACAAAAGCAGCATACACACTGCCTGATGCCAAGTCAGTTTCATTCGAATCCTTTAGGATTTAAAAACAAAAACTGTTTTGCCAGCACAAGATGTCACCGCTCTTTTACCATAGCATCCCCTTTCCCTCTTCGTAATATATTCATCAAGTTCATTGACTATGTATTGATCAATGGTCCCTTTCCGTGAAACCGTGAGCCCTTACCTTTTTCAATTTGATGAGTAACGGATCTCTGCGAGTGAGAAGATAAGTAACCTTGAAGCCAGATTTTCAGAGAGAGAGAGGCTGCAGGACCAGCTGCGGAGCTGGGCTGTGCGATGCCCCTGGCTCCTCCCTGGGGCTGGAGGAGCGGGAGACCTTTGGGGAGGCCTGTCACTCACCTGACTGGGTGCCTGAATTGCGAAAGCTTTCCTGAAGCTGCGGTCATTCCAGGGCCATCGGGCATCTGAAGAGGAAAGGAAGTGAATCCAGTTATCACCCACCTCCTTCTAGAAAGTGGAAACGTGCACGACCCAGTGTTCCTCGTGCCCGCTGGGAATGTAACCCCAGGGCTCTCAGCAGCCTCGCTCCCGGCTGAGTGCCGGTGGCCCATCGCTCCAGAGGACACATCCGCCGCGTCGGCACAGTTATGGCCACTGGCAGGCAGGATGTTAAGCGAGAGGCAGGACCGGTGTCTCGCATGTCTCTCTCCGGCACTGCGTCCCAAGAGCCCTGATCAATCTTCTGCACCCGTGGGAGGCGCCGCCTGAGACGCGTGGCTCACTCACCGCCTCCGCGGCGTGGTTCGGCGTCTCCTCTTCTTTCTTGCCTCCGGCGTCCACCCAGGGTCTCCAGAAGCCCGCGTGTCTGCGGGATGGATAGCACAACGCGCGCAGAGGAGACGTGAGCCCAGACCCGGGAGAATCCACCGAAGCCGAGCGCTGGCACCGGGGGGTGGGGGATGGAGAGTGGAGGGGAGGAGCTGGGGAGGCGCAGGCGGGAGGGACAGGGGAAGCTGGGAGGCACAGGGCAGCGCGGAGAAGCCTACCCGGAGTCTGCGGCCGCGCGCCGCGTAGTGCGGTCGGTGGCCGTGCACGCCGCGGCTCCACACTCTGTGCCCTCTGCGCCTCCTGCGGTCTCCATGGCGCCGCGGAGACTGGCGGAAGGCCGCTGCCAGCTCGCGGGCAATCTTGGCCAGTTCCAGTAGGTCCGAGACCCGAGCTTTATATAGCCCTCGCAGCCTGCTACACATGGAGAGGTTCGCTCCCTCTCCGCCCCTCTCCCCTGCTAACCGCATAAACAAAAAGGCTGCGCGTGAAGGCGCACCAGGCTGAGCCCCGGGTGTGAACGCGTGCAACTTCCAGATGGCCCGGGATGGGGTTTTGTCGAGCGAATGTTAATCGCCTTCGACACATGGCTGCGGTGAAAAACAACATTCGCCCGAGCAGCCAATTTCCGTGTGAAGAGGAGACGGAATTAAGCGAGTCTACACGTTTTGTGTATTTCTGCAAAAAGGCCAAGTAACTGGTTAATTGCTTGATTCGCTGGAAACTCAGGACTTGCTTGACCTGTGGCAAATCAACTGGTTCTGCATCCCCTGTTCTAAAAGCTGGGATGCAGACTAGAATTCAAAGGAATGAACTTAATTCCTCTTCCTGGAACAATTTTTTTTTTAATTGGGTGAATAGATGGACTCCTTAAGAAAGGAATGCCAGTTTTTAAGAAAATGTGTTGATAAACGAGGTTCATACGCCAGCCTATTATTATCTGACGATAATAGAAAATTATTGGCAACAAGAGGTAAATTGTAAAAGATTCAGTGTTCTGGCTAAGAGAGCCAGAGACTGGAGTCATGTGATTTGCTCATATAACTCTAAATTATCTTCTCGTGTCTTTTGTGATTTTTCCCAATATTTTATCAGTATCCTTCTACAATGACTTTTGAGTTCGTCTATACACCTCTATCACTACTTGGTATTTTGTCACTCAATGGTAATTACAAAATTCTTTTTTGAGGGCAGGTGTTGTGGAAGATAATGAAATCTTGAAAAGGTATGATGTGAGACAAGTTAATCGAATGTCTGCACCCCTGTTTCTCTGATTTGAGTTACCCCTCACTTATCTACCACTAAACTTTGTAAAAAGTGTTATGCATCAAGGGAAAGATGATATATAAATGTAATAATTTTTTTCAAAATGTTTTAAATAATGAAACTGAACTTTCTCTTAAAAGTTTAGACAAAAATCTTGATTGTAAACTATAGTTGTCTCTGCTCTTCATTCAGCTACTGCATAGGAAAATAATTTAATTATAATAATAGCTAAGAGCCTATAATGATCTATCTGCCAGGAAGGTGAGATTTGGGTTGCTTCTGATAAGAAAATCGGTAAGGATAGACACCTAATGCATGTCTCCATCCCGTACAGTTATTGTTAGGCTAAATAAATAAAGCTTATAGAATGCATTTTGCAGTGCCTGACATATAGTAAGCCTTCAACGGATTTTAAGCTCTGTAAAAAATATAAGGCCTTAACAGATGTTAACTTTTCTGATAAAATGTCTTATTATTTCCGTTCCATAATGTAAATTAGTTCAATCATTGTGGAAGATGGTGTGGTGATTCCTCGAAGACCTGGAACCAGAAATACCATTTGACCTAGCAATCCCATTGCTGGGTGTACACCCAAAGGAATATCAATCATTATTTTACAAAGATGCATGCATAATGTTTGTATGGATGTGTTCATTGCAGCACTATTTGCGATAGCAAAGATAGGGAATCAACCCAAATGCCCATCAGTAATAGACTGGATAAACAAAATGTGGTACATACACAACACGAAATACTATGCAGCCATAAAAAGGAACAAAATCATGTCCTTTTCAAGGACATGGATGAAGCTGGAAGCCATTATCCTCAGCAAACTAACGCAGGAACATAAAACCAAACTACTGCATGTTCTCACTTGTAAGTGGGAGCTGAATAATGAGAACACCTGGACACAGGCAGGGGAAAAACACACGCTGGGCCTGTCAGTGGTTGGGGTGGGAGGAGAGAGAGGATTAGCAAAAATAACTAATGCATGCTGGGCTTAATAGTTAGGTGATGGGTTGATAGATGCAGCAAAACACCATGGCACATGTTTACCTATGTAACAAACCTGCACATCTTGCACATGTACCACAGAACTTAAAATGAAAATAAAAAATTAAAAAAAATCTTTTTGAGGTGGCTGTAATGTGCTAACTACTGTGCTTTCCAGATAAGGACAGTAAAGTATTCCTCCTAACCTTGAGAAGACTACAATTATTACAAACTCTGGCCACTACAATAAACACATAAGCAAAAAAATAAAAAAAAAAAATTAAAGTGACACATTCAATAGTAAAAGCGCATTTTAGGCAGATAGGTGGGAGGAAATTAAGTCTGTTTGGGATAACCAGGAAAGCCTTCTTAGAGTAAATCAAATCTAAGTTGATATTTTTGGAAGGATTAATCAAAGAATGGTATTGTCTGGGTTGTTCAGGAGTGGGAGGAAAAGGAACTGGATATCTCTGGAGCAGAGATGCTGAAGAGATAGAAAGGGTTTGGACTATCAAGAGCCTAAAATGCTATGCTAAGTCATTTTGACTTTATTCTGTAAGCACTGATGAAAGATTTTAAGCAGGAAAGTGGAATGGCATTTTATAAAAATCACTCTGGCAGCCATATGGAAAATGGATTTAGGAAAGTCTAGAGACAGGGAGTCCATTTAAACAGCCACTGTAATAGTCTGGGCAAGAGATAGTAAGATGTGCACTAAGAATGGAGATGAAGCGATGGATTTGAAGGATACTTAGGAAATAGAACCTGAAGAATTACTTGAGTCATAAAATGTAGGTGGACTTGAAAGTGGAGTCTGGATATATTCCCAGGTTTCTAGCCCGGTTAAGTGAGTAAATGGTGATGGCTCAAACACAGACACAGAAAACAGGGAGCATAGGATAAAGAGCAGGTGAGATTCTCTTGTGTTGTTTTATTCTGTTCATGATGTGCAGGAAAAAAATAATGAGTTTGGTTTTGAATCTTAAATCAGTCAGATGTGCTGGGCTATTTGGTGGTAACAAATAAGTCCAAAATCTCACAGGCTTGAAATAGCAAAGGCTTATTTTTCACTCATGCCCTATATCCATTTTTGGTTGGTGTGAGGTCGGCTCTACATCATCTTCACTTAAGGATGTAAGCTGATGGAACCTCTTCCCTCTGGAATGTACGAGGAGAAAAGAATAAAATTATTTGAGTACAAGGTTTCAGAGGTTTCTGCCTAGAAGGGACACACATTTCACTGGCTAAAACAAGTCACATGACACACCAGTTTCAAAAAGCAAGGAAGTGCAATTCTACCATGTGTTCAGAAAGAGGAGAAACAGAAATAAACAACATATAGGAGTGCCATCATCTGCCCTTCTGGCTACTAAATATTCAGTTCATCTTCCTTCCTACATGTAAAATACAGTCATCCCAAGGAGAAGAGCTGAGAATAGATCTAAGACTTTGGAAGGCTCAGTAACATGTAGGTGGAGAAGATATTCAGGGGACAACCGGAGACATGAGGTCTGGAGTTTAGTAGAGAATTGAAGGCTAAAGATTTAAATGTGAGATTCATCAGCAAAAAAATGGCCATTAAAACAATAGGAATTGATTTGTTTTCCCAGGGAAATTGTGTAGGTTGAATCCAGGACCAAGGACAGTAGCCTAGAGATCAACATTTGATTGTAAGGTGAGAAGATATGCAAAATAAAACAAACAAACAAAAAACCCATCTCACTGAAAAGGAGTGGTGAAGCTGGTAGAAAGTGCATCAGTAGGCCAGTCACAGTGGCTCACTCCTGTAATCCTGGCACTTTAGGAGACCAAGATGGAAGGATCGCTTGAGCTCAGGAGTTCAAGACCAGCCTGGGCAACATAATGAGAGCCCATCTCTATAAAACAAAAATGTAAAAAATCAGTCAGGCATGGTGGTTCATGCCTGTAGTTCAAGCTACTCAGGGAGCTGAGGGCAGAGGATCACTTGAGCACGGGAAGTTGGGGCTGCAGTGGGGTGACAAAGCAAGACTCTGGAAGGAAAGAAAAAAAAGAGAGAGAAGGAAGGAAGGAAGGAAGAGGGAGAGAAAGAGGAGAAAGAAAGAGAGGAAAGAAAAAGAAGAAGAGGAAGAAGAAGAAGAAGAAGAGGAAGAGGAGGAGAGAAGAAACGAGAGAGTGTTTCAGTAAAGCAAGGTGCGAAAGTGTTTCAGTAAAGCAGGTGTGGTGGAAACATGGGATGAAAGAACTCCAATAAGGCAGGAGAGGTCCAACGCAGTCAGGGCTACCAAGAGGTCACATAAGATAAGGATAAGTGTTAATTGGATTTGGCAATATAACCCCTTATAAGGGATTATAAGTGACTTTAGAACAGTATCATTTGACTATATAGGGACAGAACTTTTTTTTTTTTTTTTTTTTTTTTTACAGTAAGTTGAGTTGTAGATTAGAGGTGAAGAGGAAGTCAAAACAGTGAGTTGAGCAACTCTTTTGAGAGGAAAAATAGAGAATGTTGGGTCCATTAAGGGATCTTGTTTTTAGGGTGCAAAGACAAAAGTATGCTTATAAAATGAAGAGAGCAGTCAGGAGAGGGATGCTTCTGGAGAGACAGGGGCTGGATGGATGATGGTTCATGGTCTCCAAAGAGGAAGGAAAAAAAGAGAGCAATAGCCCTGAAGAGAATCCTCGTAAGAATGGAGTGTTTGAATCAGTGATGACCATAATCCAGGTCTGGGAACTCCCAGGAAACAAGTTTAATCAAGGTGACTACTTCGGGCATGGAGAAGGGGGGATCTACTGTAATGATGAGACATGAATCTGAGAGAATATCAGTTTTCTTAAAATTGTGAAAAAAAATGTATTACTGGAAAAAAGGAGAGCCAATTAATAAAAATATGGCCAGAGTTTTACTTGATCAAATTTAAGTCAACTGAGAAATATAAATATGAATTATTAGAAAGATCCTAAACCTACCATTTATATGTTAATGTATGCTGCCTATTTATAGAGATCTTGAAGCTGATTTTCATGAGGCTGAGATCAATATGCTATTTTTCTTTCAGCTTTTTTTTTTTGCATTGTTTATCATTTCCTTCAAAGATGGAATTTCTTAGCTAAATCATTAAGGAGGATATTAACTATAAGCTATACCTAAAGAAGAGAAAGCCAGTACAATTTTCAGCGACATTATATTTATTTTAGAACATAG